CAGCAGGATAATCCTGGCTTCTGTGTGGGGAATAGTGTGAGATGAGAAGAGTCCAGTTTGAGGGCCATTGTCATAATGCAGACCTGAACCACGGTGGACATGGTGGAAGTGGCCAGACCCTGGCATATTTTGGTGGTAGAACCAACAGGGTTTTCTGATGGATTGGATATGGGAGGTGAGGAAAAAGAAAGGAGTCAGGGTTGATTAAGATTTTTGGTGTGTTGGGGCCAGCAGGTGGCATGGTGGTTAAGGGTGCTGGGCTCTCTCATGGCTGACTGTGGTTTGAGTCCCAGACCTGGTGGCTTGCTTTCTCATGCTGTCTCTCTCTCTCATGCTATCACTCTCTGGTCAAATTAAAATAAATAGATAAATAAAGTTAAATAAAATAATTCTTTAAAAAAAGATTTTTGATGTGAACAGTTGTGAGGATGACATTGTCATTAGTTAGGAAAGACTGTGTGTGGTAGGGCACATCAGTCGGGATGTCAGGAGCTCTGTTTTGGGCAGTTTGGAGTGTGAGATGTATGTTAGATATCCGGATGGAGAAGCCCAATGGGGAGCTGGATACAGGCATCTGGGGCTCAAGAGAGAGGTCTAGACTCAAGATAAAATTGAGGAGTAGTGAGCAAATAGTAGTTTCTAAAGTTGTGAAATGGAATGAGATCCCTCAGTCTGAGGGTAGATAGTTAAGAAAAGAGTTCTAAAAACTGAGCCCTAGGGCATCGTAATTTGAAAAATTTGGAAGATTAGAAGAAATCAGAAGAGGAGTCAGTGAAGGGGAAAGTCAAAAGAAGGACATTTTTCAGGGAGGAGGCAGTGATCATCTTGTGAAATTCTGCTAGTAGCTCAAGTAAGACCACAGAATTGGCCGTGGAATTGAGCAATGTAGGGTCTTTGGTGACCTTGATGAGAAGCAGAATGAGTGATCCCAGATGAAGGTAGACACTATTAAATTGTTGCCAGTTTTTCACAGGTAGGGGCAGGCTGGAGTCTGTTCTTGTCTTCTGGTGGGTCTCTAGTAGTAGCTGTGCTTTAGTATCTATCTCATTACAGGCTCAGAGCAGAGCAAATAGAACTCTTGAAATTGAGATGGATTAGAGAGATTTAGAGGGATAAACACATTAGGGACAATGATAGAGAAAGGCCAAGAAAAATCAAGAGACAACGGGGAGCTTTACCAGCTGTGGCAGTTGCCCTTTAAGACTATGCCCATCCCAGTAGGCCTGCCTGGGCTGACCTACATTTCAAAAGTGAATGTGGAATTTGGCAGGTATTTCAGGGAGGTTCTTTCCTGGGCTAGGGCCAGTGGGTGACTCAACTGACTTGAACATAGCCAGTATCCTTTGAGGCACGGAGAGCATTCCCCTGCAGGGTTTTGGACATAATTTGTAGACAGTGCCTTCTTGTTATTACTAAGGAGAGTGCCTGCTGCCTTCTCCTCATCTCCCTTATTTACTTACCCAGGCTTCATTATTTTTGGCTCCTGAAAACAATTGTTTGGGATGAGGCCGGCAGGTGGCGTGGTGGTTAAGGACGCCGGCCGACCACTGTGCAAGTCCCAGATCTGGCAGCTTGCTTTCTCACTTTCTCTCTCTCTTGTTCTGTCCCTCTCTGGTCAAATTAAAATAAGTAAATAAATAAATAAAGTTAAATAAAATAATTCTTAAAAAAAAGAAAACAATTGTTTGAGAGCATAGGAAATGTATGACTTTGGGTTTTCCTTTAGGGCTGTGTTAAGATACTAGTAGATGCCAGATAAGAGGGGCTGGTGGGGCTCCCTCTTTGCTGCCCCGACTGAGTTCATGAAAGTGCTACCTTGGCTCTGCTATTCATGTGGCTTACTTGTTGGGTATTGACCTGTGGCACCTTTTTTTAAATGACCACCCTAGCTCATCTCACTCATTCCACTCACCCCATAGGGACCGCTCAGCTTAATGTGACCCCTTGTGGGGCTGGGATTCTGCCTCTAGTCTTTTCCCTGTTCCCTTGGTTGAGCAAGTGGCACAGGATCCAACCTAATTTTCATCCCTGTGGACAGCAGCAGCCTCTGCCTTCACCATTTTCTGTCCCACAGTAGCAGGAGCAGAATATCTCATCACCAAGAATGGCCTCTCATTTTCCCTGTTTTGGTCCAGAGGTAGGGGGACAAGAAAAAGTAGGTAAGTCGAAGACATCATGGTGTCACTGCCAGGCTGGGACCTGGAAGCAGCCTCTGCAGTGTCAGAAAGGGACCCACACTAAGGAGATGCCTGTGTCCTTGGCCCATGGTGGACGGGCTGGTGAGTGGTTCATTAGCTTTCATGAAAGGAGATACCTGCTATCCAGCCATTTAAAAAAATGATAAAGAATCCCTTTAGGAGATGGGAGAAGTTCACGAGTGTATCCTTGCAAGGGCTGTAGATGGCTGCAGTTTGGGAGCAGAGCTTGCTTTCTTTTTCTTTTTCTTTTTTGAGAGAGATTTTTGCTATAGGGTGTGTGCTTTCATCAGATAGAGACAGAGAGACAGAAAACAAGAAATCCTCCCCTCCCCAGTGGGGGATGGCTACACCATAATCCCTTCTCCATTCTCCCCTAGGAAGTTTGGGCAATCAAGCACACATGCCCGGCATGAGTTTTAAGCATCTGGGTCCAGGACTTGAACCATGCTCAGCCATGTGGGAGTCCAGCGATGTAACCATTACACCATCTGCTTGTCTCATGACGAGAGCTTACATTCTTTCTGACATATGCTGAAGTCCCACTGGTGATGTGGATGGATGAGTTGTGGTGACTTCTGCCTCTGGGCCAAATGGGGTGTGGTGGAATGAGTTTTAGTTCCTCCTTTCTGACCTCCACCCTATCTTGGCAGGGTTTATATGGACCTTGAAGGTAGCTTCTCCTTGGCTAGGACTGTGGCAGTTCAATGCCAGCTTCAGCACATACACACACGTACACAAACCCACGCACACATACCCTGGGGCTGTCCACCCCATACTGCTTTGTGCTAGCTAGGACTGGCATTCTTCTGCCCACTCATGCTGTAGGAAGAGACTGATGCCAGCCAGAACTGCTGTAACAGGTGGGGCTAGTCTAGCACCTGGCTGGGGTGGCTGGAGCCTCCTTGCCACATTCAGAGCTTGCCTTCTTCCTACCCTGGCCCCAGCACAGGTCTGGAGCTATTTGCTTCAATTCTGCAGTTCATTTTAGGGAAG